TGCCTACTGTCACCATTCTTCTTCAATTTCGTTATTGTGGATCGCGTTCACACGACTTAGAAGATGTAAAATTGTTCCCAGGCGAACGGCTTATTGACTTGGGGCACGCAGACGATATTACCGTCCTCTGTGACAGCTCGCAAATGTACCAAGTGACTCTGGACAGATTAGCACTGGCTTCAAACCGTTTCGAGCTACGCAAAGCACCCGCAAAGTACAAAGCTCTCCTCCAAGATTGTAAGGGACCACTTGTTGCGCTGACACTTAGTGGAAACCCGACATAAGTCGTTCAAAAATTCAACAGCCTGGGAAATTGTATCAGTGCCCCTGGGATCGAAGACGAGATCCCGAAGCGAATAGCAAAAGCACCTCGCGCTTTCGCCAACCTTCGCCGACTATGGCGCCGGCGCGACATTATTCTCCCCTTGAAGGATACAGTGTACAATGCAGCCGTACGTTCAACCCTCGTACGGCTGTGAAACCTGGCCCATTAGATTAGCCGACATAAAGAGGCTAGTTACGTTCGACCACTATTATCTTCGCAGTTTGGTTTACATCTGGTGGGAACACCGCGTGAGCAACGAGCGTGTTCATCGCCTTGTTTATGACACAGGAATAGGAAATGAACAGCTCAGCATGGTTAATTCACGTACTAGGATCCGACGGCTCGGCCACGTGTTGCGAATCCCAGCCCACCGAGTCCAGTGACGTGCGTTGTTCGCGCGCCGGGGTGTGAATGGAAGAAGAGGAGAGGTGGCCAGTCGATGACTTGGTCGAGAGCAACAAAGGCCCTTACTTCGACGTTAACCTCGGTTGAATCCTCTCGTCTCCAGAATCGGGGTCCGCAAAAGACGATGAACACTTGGCTGGATACACCTGCTGATATGGCTACGAACCGACCTCGATTGCGTTTGTTTGTCCCTCCCGATCCTTCTTATCCTCCTCTCTAACCGCGATATCATTTCTTCGCAAAATATCAATTTTAAATAATGTACTTTTTTGCTGCATAGTAGTTGGCTGGTAGGTTTCCGGAACGATGCCAATCCGCTACTGGTAGCTCAGCTGATGTGCAAACGTTGTGTTTTATTTCGTTATTTTTATGTGTTGCGGCACAGTAGCTGATGCGTGTTTCACCCCATAGCAAAGGTGCATAATGATGATAATGATGAAGGCACCACAGATGTCGCTAATTTAAAAAAGTAGTTCTAGCCTTTGCAATGCGTGGACGGCGACAATCGTTACTGATACAGCTGAAAAGATAAATGAACTGATCAATTACCTCGAATCTCTCACCATCAATGCTCAAGAGGCCATCGAGTGGTTGGTGGTCCTGTAACAGCACTTTGAAGGTGCGAAGCACATGCCAAATGATTAGACCACACTAGACAGGCTATTCAGGATTGATTGGGTGGCCCCAACATCGTTGAGCAGCAAGACGATATCGTCCGTATAATCAAGATCAACCAACCTTTCACCAAGCAGCACTTCAACGCCTGCATCGTGAGGTTACGTAAGGGAACACTCCATGACAGAATTCACGACGAAGTTGAAGAAAATGGGGGAAATCGGAAAACCCTGACGAACGCCACTTGTGGTCGGAAGGATACCCCATAAGTCACCGTAGATCCTGAAGTGGCCTGTCCCGTTCGAGTACAGCGGACGTAAAACGTTTACATATTGCATGGGACACCTTTCCGCGCAAGTCTTTCGAAGAGAATGCATCGATCGACTGAATCGAACATACTCTGTAAGTCCAGGAACACAGTTATTGTAGGCCTGAGATACGTGTGGCGCTGCTCTAGCACCTGCTACAGAGTGAATATATGGTCTCTACAGCCCAGTCCTGGGCGAAAACCTATCTGCTCCTCCGTAATCCGTGGTTCTCGCTCCGCAGTGAGGCGACGAACGAGAATTGAGGCCAGCAATTTTGTCACAACTGGAGTTAGGCGAATAGCCCTGTGGCTAGCACATTCGGTGCAACTGCCTTTCTTGTAAATCGCGACTGTAATTGATTCAATACAGTTGGTGTCGGCCGGTGCCCGAGTGGTCTGCGCGTTCGGTTTGCAAGCGTAAGATCAATGGTTCCAATTTGCGTATGGGTGGGCGTCCTCGCGGTATACTCAGCCCACGAGTGACTAGCGGTGGTCGCGTATCAGCGAAGCGCCGTTATAGCGTACAGTTGGCGATTCCTTTTTAATTCCGTTAGTTGACATGGTCTTTGCTCTCCAGACCTGTTCGAACGGAGAGGTCAGTGCTTTGCAGAAGACCTCACCACCATCCTTAAATAATGCGGGTGTGACCGAATCTGGGAAAACAGCACGAAAATGATTCTGGGCTGCGATCGCGTTTCGGACCTCACCCTGCAACACATGAGTAGGAGGTCCAAAAGCAGGGCGACAAATGAACTGCTCTCAAAAGTGCTCCGCCAACCGAGCCATCTGAAGCTGATTATTGTGTATCAGTACACCCACCCTGTCTCTGAGTGTCTCACTGACGCCTGATTTACTGGGAGTAGTGGTGCGGATCAGCTGGAAGAGTTTGCGGTAATTGCCTACTGCTCCTGCCTCTTCCATTTCTTGAGCACTACTGGTCCACCAAGCTTCCTTGTCAGCATGTAGACTTTGCTCTAGTTCGCGCCTAATAGCCCGTCTGGTCACATTGTGCTCAGAGCCAGCCGGGAGGTTTCTTCTAGATTCCAACAAATTCACCGACCTCTCGAATATCCAGTGACTGGTACGGTGACGATTGATAGTGCCGCAAGCGGAGTCTCCTACAGGTTGAATGGCGACCGAGATCCTATTCAAATGACGCTAAATGTTATTAGGACCAGTAAGCGAAAGTTCGGCACGCAGTGCATTCTGGACGGCTTACCTGACTGAGGGGTGAGATAACTTTCCAGTTGCCAATCAAGGGAGACGCTTGGTACGCCTACCGGTAAAGGCCACGGAGAAAAGTCAGCGTGCCAAGGCATGCTCAGATTCGACGCAAGTACTCCAGAAAGAGCGATAATGCATGATTGAACCACGCCACCTGCAACTTATGGTAACGTGACCTATTTGGGTCCATCACTGGTCAGCTACACGGGGAGGCCAAGTGACACTTCGGCGCCCACTATGTCTAAAAGCGGTACCACCAAGAAACAACTAGTGTTCCGCGCAAAACAGTAGGAGACGCTCGCCGTTGTCCGTCTGTTCGGAGTTAAATTCATACATACCACCTAGCAAATATTCTGAAGAGCTCAGACGACCTACTTGAGCATTCATATCCCCTGCAAGAACTATGATATCTTAATTGGTAACACTGCGTAGCAGCGTGTTCAGTTCGTGGTAGAAAGCGTCCTTCGCAGCATTAGAGCTGCATTCGGTGGGGGCATAAGCGGAAGCCACAAACAGCGTCTAGTGCCAATCCGTGAATCAACCTTAGTCGTCAAACGGACTGCACACAAACGGCTGCTCATGGGAATCCAATTAAGCAACGATGACTCAGCTCTGGAGATGAGAACAAGGCTCACTCCAGCTTGACAAGCGGTTGCCGCATCAGCGCCTCCGGGGACGCGCAACCAATAGCGAGAGGATAAACCGGATGCAGTTAATTCAACAACCCCCTGAGCATCAATGATCCCAGTTCCGAACAAACAACACACGTCAATACCCGGCGTATCTAACTTGGTGCGAGTGCAGCCTGTTGACCTATTTGTCTTAAGTGCGGACATTGAACGCCTCCAGGGAAACGGAACAGTGTGGCCTTATGAGTTGTTGGTGATTAGTGTCCAGTGGGTTGTGCGAGAACAGCTGCAGTTGGTATAACTTCAAAGACATTTCGACTGCTGTCAATTAAAATGGGAATTATAGAAGGGAGGCTAGTAATGGGGACTGGGAAAGGAGTAAAAGAAACAGGTGGAAAGGAAAGAAAGGAGGCGCCAGCAGTAGCATGTTTTCGCTCATCCGCCTTGCTGTATGCAGCAGATCTGGTGACGTTTGATAAGTTGCGCGACGGTCGATGCAGGATGTAATTGAAATTTAAAGAAGGAGTCATGGTTGTACGTAGGCTGAGGTGTTGCCAGGGCGCGCAAACTTAGACAGGAGGACGATTAGGGTCCACAACCAAAGCCGTTGGCTCAGAAACCTGTCTGCAAGACTGCGGAGGCGGTAATGATTCGGATTTACAGAAATGGATGCCATCCCATTTCAAGCACAAAACGTGGAGGACCAGGAGACTGAGTTAGTCTGATCTCTAACCAATGAGGAACCTGGTAGGAGTAGCTCTTAAGAGACCCAAGGGCCCCAACCTCAATGGGTCGAGGAGGTACGCAAATCGTCACACCACGTTAAGGGCTAATCTCGCCGTGACGGCTGTCTACCTATGCCGTGTCAGGTCATGCCCATCCGAACAACAAATTACACTCGCACTACATAGGTAGTAAGTAGGCACACGTAAAAGATGCCTGAATTAATATGATCCATTCGGTATTATTTGTTGCTATAACCCAATGACCTAGTCGCCACTACCTAATGCTCGGTTGTGTACGTCCCATCGTTGCAGATACACTGGTGTCACCAGACGCCAACAAAGCTCTGAAAGCATCCGATCTGTTCCGATACACAAGAGGCCAAGTCGTATTGGCGTAGAGGAGAACGAATATCATTGTGGTACTGGGTACGCGCGATAATGAGGAACGGAGATTCACATCCCGGTGTTGGAGATAGTATTCAACAAAGTAGTTCGGAATGAAGCAAGAAGCAGACCAGTCCCATTACTCACACACATCGCTGGTAATGTGCATATGGAAATCGTTAGGTAGATGGACCGTCTCAAGCGCATCATCATAAAGGATAGTAAGCAGGTAATAGGTTTGCGACAGAAGTTTGTAATTATATCCCGTAAAGCTGAAAAATGGGACCTTCCTAGACGATGAAAAATTGGAAAGGGACCCATTAATGACCGCATATGGTAAAAAAGTAAAAAGGGAAGTCATCGACAAACACAGTGAAACAAAGTGATCAACCACTTACATCGCGCAGATTTCGATTCAGCTGGAATCCGTTGACCAGGATTTGGCCATCTGAAGGATCGAGGTCACCGGTGATCATACGAAACATGGTGGTTTTGCCTGCGCCATTGACGCCTAACAGACCAAAACAATCGCCAGGTAAAACAGCCAAAGAGACTCGGTCCACAGAGGGCTTAAGATGAGTGCCGACAGCAGGACCGATGGATCCATACACCTTGGTCACCCGACGCAACGCCAAACTGGCGAAGAGTAAAAGAAAAATATTGACGCAAATCGACGCCGGATAAAAAGAAAGATAAAATAAGAATATAAGTCAATAAAGAAAAAGTTAAACGGCCGGCATGCTACAAATAATCTCGCAATAACTGGACAGCCACTGCCATGAAGAAAAGTAGCGTTCTGCGGTTTCCTCCTACTGAGACTAACTAGTAGAGCGCGTCTCTCTCGATTGCTCAAAAAACCGGTAGTCAGCAGCCTATATCACTAGGCTAGGGCAACGATGATGAACAGTGTAGCCTAGGATACAGCGTCTTCCATTCAGAATTGACGCGCAAGCAACTACTGTGGACTCAATCCCTTGCATTCTATACTCAAAGGTTTGCATCGGTCGCGCTTGAAGCTGCATCGCGTGCGTCATGTGACATGTTGCACGTGCGCATACGTATGAGCCATATCTATGGACTGCGTTCGCGACATTAGACCACGTGATCTGCTTGCCGCCGACTGCACTCGTACGGTGACTAACGTAGCGGTGAAGTTAACTCCTTAGGCACACCAAGTTGAGTGAAACCGTGCGATTGGTGCAACAGCTTGCTCTACTCCGAATGTCACAAAAAGACACTCGTACGCGGCACTCGGAGGAGCTGAAGTACGTACTACTTAAGACAAATGAAGAGGTACACGACTGGAAGTATGTTACACACATACTGAACGTAACCTTGTATACCTGCTGCACAAACCGTATACGTAAGGTTCCGCAGGCGCGTGGTCAACCTTCATGGCAATGTGTTTACATTCCGCAGTTTAATGACATACCACTTATTGACACACATTCAGGTTCCACATCACTAGCACCTCTGCAATTGCCGTCCCGACTCTCTTGAACTACAGGGATACCCTAGGGTTTTCTCGCAACGCCACACCGGAAGCATGCGCAAACTGCGTGCCCCAACATTTAGTTTGAATGTGAAACCTATGAACTAGAGAAACATAAAAGTGATGACACTATTTCAGATCAAATCCATGTATGTCAGCAAAAAGAGGATTTACAAATCCATGCAATGCATAGCACGGGCTTAATTCCTTCTTACATGATCGATCATTTGTTGACAATGCTGCGGCGTCACGCAGGTTTGTGCCTTGGACAGAATTCGCTCCAAGAAGCGCATTCTCCATTCGCTTTTGCATAGTACACCCTCAGAATCTCCTTGAAGCATCTCGGAATATTGCTTCCCCATGGCTTGTATCACAAACGCTTTTATGACATTTCAGATTCCTTCCATAGGATTAAGTGATGGAGAGTATGGTTCCTCCCGGAATACGCGTTCCAAGTTCGTGTGGCAAGGCGCGTTATCACAGATCATGGTAGTTTTCGATAAAAGTCGAGCCTGTGGCATCCAACAGGCGACGCAACCACGCCGCGCACCTTTCCTTATGATGGTATGGTTCATTAAGCCATCGCTCGTCAACGCTCCAATCAGATACAAGTTTTGCCTCGACTGTTGGGCACTGTACATTACGCAGGAGTTCCACGCGGTGAAAGCCCTATGGTACGAGCACAAAATAGATTGAAAGTGGTTTCATCTGTCCACACGGATTGTCTCCCTTCGGCCTCAGATTGTAGCAGTGCCAAAACCTAGGCTTTCTCCGCATTTTGTTCTCATGTGTGTTGGCTGATCCCGGAACTGTTCGCAACTTCTTCAAGGTAAATAGCCGTCCGTCCAAGTATCGTGCAATTGTGCTCACGCTTACCGCAATGTTTAACTCTGTCTTCAACCACAGAGGTAGTGTTTGGAGAGTGACCGTGGGTTATGTCGACACCCATTCTACCAAGTGGTCCATCTGGCTTCTTATCAGAGAAGTTCGGTGTCCCCCCAACACGCTTTTCTGTTTGTCCAATTGATTCCAACCTTTTTATTCAACTACGGCAGGTAAGCAGGTTTACATTCCGTATGTGTGTAACATGCTTCCGGTCGTGTACCTCTTCATTTGTCTTAACTAGTACGTACTTCAGCTCCTCCGAGTGCCGCGTACGAGTGTCTTTTTGTGACATTCGGAGTAGAGCAAGCTGTTGCACCAATCGCACGGTTTCACTCAACTTGGTGTGCCTAAGGAGTTAACTTCACTGCTACGTTAGTCACCGTACGAGTGCAGTCGGCGGCAAGCAGATCACGTGGTCTAATGTCGCGAACGCAGTCCATGGATATGGCTCGTATGTGTGCGCACGTGCAACATGTCTCATGACGCACACGATGCAGCTTCAAGCGCGACCGATGCGAGCATTAAAGTATAGGATGCAAGAATTGAGAAAAGGGATAGTGGCATAGATCGCCAAATACAAGTGGCGCGGTCATGGACTCAAATTTGGAAGTATTCGAGAAAGTGCGCCAAAGGCGAGACTCAACGGGACGAATGATCCGCTCAGTGTGCGGGGCCAGATGCTTGCCTGGCAGAGTCCGGCTATGAGAAGACTTCTACAGCTACATGGAACACATATGTCGGGTTATAAGAGCCAAGGGAGAAATTTCTACAAAACGGCGCACAAATCGCTGTCAGAAGGTTTTCATGGAGAATTCGTTTGTTGGATGCATTTAGGGGAGAGATACTATATCAATCCAACACCACGGTTGTGTAAGGAAACGAAGTCTCAAGCAATGACAAGACACTTGGCATCATTACAACTCGGAGTAGCTCGTAAGGGAAGGAGTAAGAACAGGGACAGGTGAATCGCTTGTGTGATGTAAAAACATAGAAGAGGCAGGTAGTCACGAAAGTGTAAGGTTTGTTTCCTGCGAAGGGAAAATGATGATGCATCCAAGAGCCAGACACGCGTAGTTCCAGAAATGTTGGCACCTTAGAGTTAAGCCAGCGATAATGTGGTCATTACGCGTTAAAGAATGAAGCGCATACAAAGACGCATCTGAATATAGTGTAGCAAAATATATCGGTCGGTAGCGTTAATGAAGACTGCATCCAGGTGGATTTTCAAATCGCAAAAACTGGAACGTCGGGGATGTGATGGGGTGTTCTAGCCGTCGTATAAGGCGTATATAAATTTGAAGATAGAGTGGTGACGCGACCAAACAACCTAAGCCCATGGGGAGAGAAGCAAGTAAAATACTGCAGTGTACTCGGATACTTATTGGGCGATACACAAGCTCACTTCACAGTCTCTGATTGGTCAGACGCGCACAATGCTGCCAAGAGTAGCTGACCTCGACGGTGAGTAACGCAAAGAGCAGAAGAAGAACGATGAAATCCCGGCGGTAGGAAGGCGTGGATTGAATGCTCAGGTGTTGTTACCCAAGGTGGACCACCACGCGATGTTGAAAATGTAGCACGTTCACTTAGCATATTTTGTATAAAAACCGGAGTGAAGTATGATCTGCTTAAGGGGGGTAAAAGCCAATGGCTGATATGGAGAAATTGAAGCCAACGAGAGACGAGAAGCTTAAGAAGGCCGTCCTCGAGTAGACCGCAGAGGCCAGATTAGACAATACACGACAGGTTTAAGAAACTAGTTGAACAAACATAAAACTGCGGCAAAGAGGCACACATAATGCAGCATCGCTGCGGACGGGCCACTTCTCTAGCAGAAGAAAAAACATTCAAAAACACCAGTACTCTGCACAATTGTCCTGCTGCCACACAACCACAGGCGATCACACACGGCCTGTGATACCATGGGGTATCCAAATCGCCGATATGAAATTTCGGAAATGATCACCAAGATAACTGACCAGTAGATCTGAGGAATTTGGATGCAGCCACACAGAAATATCTCCTGCTACTTCCATCAAGAAATCAGTATTCCCCAGGGAAGGTGGGTTACTGACCACGAAGACTGCCGTCGTCCACCGGAGGGTGTGGATGATCTTTATAGCCCAGTGGTTTTCCATTGGAGCATAATGATGAATAGCATCTCAAAAGAGCCCAACAATTTAACGCGTCCTAACTGCCTGACACTTAATGCGTTGTCAATCCGCAGAAAGCACTAGCAATCGCACCGAAATAAGCAGAAGAGGCCAGTGAGGTTCATTTCAGCGATATCATGCGCAAGGGCGTGAGAAATGTTCGATCCAAGGAGACACAAGTGGCAACCCGAAAACACGGAGTGGGTACCTCAAAGCCAAAATGAGAGTCCAGTGGTCGTGACAAAGTGGTACATCACCTACAGTCCAGGTCTCAGTACAAAACTATCGCCAATGGAATGGTCTAGATAAGAGTAAGTACGGTCGTTGAGTGTACGACTGGGGGCCTGCAACACCAGTCCCCATGATAAAATGATTGGGACTAAAAAGAAAACTAAGTTCCGTGCACAAAGTGATTACGTGTCACGCAGTGGGTATACAGAAACCCAAAAATGCAATCCGTACCTTGTTTGTGCCTTCAGGCGGTTCAGTGGCATAGATTCGACCAAATGGCGATGGTGGCTCACATCATCGTCTTCTACAATCAAAGCTTTCTCAGCCTCATCCAGCGGGTTGGTAGCAGAAGCGCCCGACAGTGAATAACAATTCTCGCAAGCAAAACACATCATTAATAATCGTGCACAAACTGGCGAAAAGAGGAAAGGGCAAATGATTATCATCGTTAGGAAAATAGACTTTTGACTAAATCATATGTGATTGATACTCAGTGTAGTAGGTGGTTAGCGAAAAAACATAAGCAGTTCTCACTATAAAATACAGTCAAACCTGTCTAAGGCGACCACTCAATGGACCGACGAAAAATGGTCGCCACAGACAGGTTCATGCATAGAGACATAGCCCGTAGGAGAAAACTTTGGGGATTCTTTTGGCTAGTAGCCATAGACAGGTGGTCGCCATAGCAGATTGGATTGCAATACGAGGAACTCTATTAGGCTCGAAAATATAAGGGTGTGGCTTCCTGTAGAAAAATTCACATCCCACAGGGCAGTGGTTAGCAACGCTGCTAGTTAGGCCTTAAAAGCCCATACTGACAACAAGATATCAATGTTGTACGACAAATGAAAGTAGAACGTTTCTGAGGCACGGCAGTGCTACAGCACAGAAGAGAACCCTAACGGGGACAGGTGTAAGCCGGAGATAGTTGACCACCGTTGCCTGCTTGGCATAATACAAAGCTGGCGCTAATGTCAGGCAACTAGCAGTTAATAACACACACTAATGTCGCACTGGGTTGCAAAGTGAACTCGAATAGCCTACGTTGGTAGCGTCAAACTATTCAAGCCTCTAATTACTGGCAACCTCAAACTGAAGAACGGATGATTTGTGTCGTCTGTAGAAGAATCCCGGGATCAAGTCTACAGATGGATCGAGGCCTCATTAGACCAAGCAGTGGGTTAGTAAGTGAACTCTGAAACAGGCACCTCAAATACTACACATATAGTCCTTCCACGTGGTTACTGGTAAAGTAGGGAAAAGCAGATGGTAAAGCTGAGTCGTCAAATCGAACGGGTTGTTTCAAATGGTGAATAATTCCCGTTTAACTCATGAAAAGATGAATCAGCAAACAAGTTCGTTTTCGGTAAGGTAGATTACGTCATGATAAAGTACAGGTGTCAAAATGTCCAAAGTATGTGATTTGTTCACGCGGAAGGTGTACGGACGACACCTGACCACTGTAAAGCCAAAGTTTTGACGAAATGTGCACACACAATGGGGAATTGTTGGGATGAATCGCGATCGCCTCCGCCAAAGCTACGGTTCGCTATCTGATGCGTTTCGCATGGATACCTCTCATACGATAGATCTGGTGAAAGGCTTTAGTGATAACGACGGGGTGATTTGTTTGCGTTAGATTTGCTATCACGATGGTGCACGTTTTGTCCAATCCTCCGCTTGTCCAGCTGGGTTGCGCTCGCGAAGGCGTTCAGACAAATGTGTCTCACGGTGCGACCAATATAAGCTGTTTCACAGAATCAAGCAAACTGGTACACAAAGACAGTTTATCCTCTAGCTTGAGGTGCAGCGTTGGTGTGGAAGTGAAGATAATGCGTAATTGTGACGCCTCATAGGTGTTAATGAGGACGGTTGATAATCGTTTGCTAAGGTTTTCGGAACTGCAGCCCCTTTCAAATTTAAACGACAAGTTGACTGGTTTCTTTGCTAATGTGGGTGCTTTGGTGAACACTCAGTTGGTACGTTCCTATCAACGGAGGTCTGCGGATAGCCTTTATTAAGTAACAGGCGGTGCACCGTGTTTTCAGGCGAGTAACACCCGACTCCCATCTGTTTCAGCTATGGTACCAGTGATTGCACTGACCAAAGTTCACTTCAATGTGAATCGCGGTCTATATCTTTGGCAAATTCATGCATGGCCAAAGACCAGAAAATTGCATAAATTCGTCAAGATTGGACAAATTTCCTGGCGTAATATTGAAACAGAAATCGTGTAAAACGCAAAAATAATGGTCGGAATCGCTCACGAATGTGTGAGTATACAGTGTTAGTGCGGTGTGTTTAATGACATTGTACCCAGCATGTAGGTGTCGCAAACTTGTAGGGATACTCTAATGGTAGACACACAAGGTGGATATGTCAAGTTTGATGAGCCCCAGTACCAAATCGTGCTTTGCGGAGGCTCAGAATACATGACCCTTATTGTTGATGATTATCGGATGATGCGTGATATTTAATGCCGTAGGAAATTCCGAGCGCAAAAAGCGAGCTATGGCTTCCGCATGAGTTCCTACACAGTATTTGTCAATTTTTAGTTGGTAGCTAATTGACCTTCTGTAGGTGCCGCACATCGCCACGTGCATTACGTGTGCTGTGGAGTTCTTGATGACGATTATATCCGGTTTGAAGTACGTTGATGCCGATGGGATAAGGGGCTCCGGGATGATTTAGGCTCCTGTACGACGAAAGGCGTTGGTTAGTTGCTTCACGATATTGTTGTGCCCCTTACGGCGAGTATCGTGGGTTACTGCACAGGAGTGCAAGACGTGGGAAAGTGTTTGCTTTTGTTCCCAAGCGCCAAGGCAGTGAAGATCGGTTAGATCGAGAGTTTGTCGACAGCACCCCGCTCGAAGTTGGGTCCCTCTGATGTAGTGTCTGGGAAAAATTCGCCCAGCGTTTTTTATCCAGTTATGAGACGCTGCTGTTGTAAATACCCCTTGAAGCAAGGATCCGTCTATAGATTGTGGCAGTGAGTTCTACCATGCTTCCGTCGCGCCACTTTTGTCAAAGACAACTTGGATCCCAATGAGTAAGTGTTTCATGGCGAGGCGCTGGATGGTAGCCGCTGAAGGTTCCCGTATTACCCAGCTGGTAATTGGGTGGAAAGTGCAAGATGGCGTTCCAGGCGGTCGTTCCGAAGCAATGGAATCATACTAGAAAGGCACGGAACCCCTAGGCCATAATCCTCAATTGATGCGTGAAAGAAAGCGACGCTAGTGTCCTTGGGGAGTCGCGGTAAAAGGTAGGTGCGCAAGACAGGCATGCACTGGTAGGGTTTCAGGGAGGCCTAAGATGTTTCCTGGATAGAGGGGATCTGGAGGACGCCATAGGGGAGTTGCGCAGTGTTCAAAATAGGCAAACTGTTTCTTTTGCTATCGACGGTGATAACCAGTACCATCGAAATGTCAAAGGAAGCAATCGATAAAGGAATAGCGTTCAAGCGTGAATATCTTGGGGTGCTTCGAAGCAGCCATCTTTACGAAAACCAAATTGAAAACGGTCAGCTGGTAGTGCAGGAATCCAGTGAACGAATAAAATACGATGAAGACGAGTGAAAAATTAAGTTACGGAAATCGGGCGAAAGTCTTTAGGGCGAGAAGGGTAGGGAATTTTTGGAACAAATGTTACATGGGCCACGTTCTTGTGAGTAGGATAAGGGGAACAGGCCAATAGGCAATGTAAAAAAGACGAAATGAATTTCGGATACATTAGATTGATGTCCTTTGGTGTGATACGGTCTACTCCGGGTGCAGATTCATTCACTGCTCGCAGTGCAGAACTCGTTCCCACAATGGTTGTGTGAGGAGATCCTAGTTAATATTTGCACAACCGCGTGGTGCTGGTTGTCAGATACTGAGTGTTGCGAGAGCACATCCTTCCAGAAATCATTGAAGCGCGGGATCACCTCTTCATCTGGCATGAATGCCGTCTTCCACCAACCATCGAGTACTGTAGCGGCAGCGTCTTATCTGTGCAAATGGTAGAGGCGTTGAATGTGGACAAATTGAAGCTGCTGTCGCTCACGCCTGTTTGAGACGGTAACCGCCCGTTGTCCGCGTTTACTGGGCCACCATGTGTAAGGGAATAGGGTTGAGCACACTCTTTCCGTGGCGTTATAAATGCTGTCATAGAGTGCTCCGTTTGCAGATCTCCAATGACTGTTCGCAAGGTAGCTGCACAGTGTTCAGTTTGTAATTGGAATTGGACCAGTTTCCTGGTTGGTTAGGCGGAGCTGTACGCCAAAGGGTGCGTCCCCAGGTTGCGGATGGGGGAACGCCTTCCTTGTGTAGGTAACTGTGAATAAGTCACGACTGTTCGCAGGGGAGATGAATAAGCAGTCGTGGACAATTAGCGGCAGCGTCCTAGAGCTTGGGGGTTTCTGGGCTGGTCACTTCATTCCTCATTAAATACCACAAGAGCTGGCAAGACGCTATATCAAAGCCAATGTGACCGGCTATAGGGTCAATGACCACATACTTCTGGTCACAGAAGTGAGAAATTAACGGTGGGCGAATGAACAACCTCGATGACTACTGGCTTCTATGAAAACGAATGAGCCACCCGGCTGTCAACGGTCTTTGTGCTTCGCGGCGAGTTCGGCAATCCAGGGAATCTTGGCTTCCGTGCTGCTTCACTGGGGCCATTTGAGCGCCCTGAGTAGTTTGGCTTTACTCGAAAGCCGTTTTATGCTCACCTAGATAGCCGACTCTCAACGGTTGCGGTATACGTCAACCGCCCCACTGCCTTGCAGGTTAAGGCTTTATTACCAACAGCTCCGGGTGAGGACCCCTAATGCAACCCTCTTCCATGGTCTGGGCAACCGGGAAGTACCATGCCCACACAACCGATGGATGCGCGTCTCAACAATACTTCGCTCACTCTCTTCTCTCTCGCTCGATCGGCTTTCACTCTCTCGAACTGCTCTCATCGGCTGAGGTGCTGGCGGCTGAACCTGCCAAACCACGTTTTACCGCACCACCGTTTAGACACATTATCCCATGTTTGTTTCACCCCGCATTCTTGGCCATCCCCCTTCGCTTTCTTGTTCACAACAACGTGCCGCTTTGGGCGAACTTTCTCGCTATACGGATAAGGAGCCTGGGTCTGAGGATGCGCCAAGTCCTGTTGACAAGCCATTGCTAGCGCCCCGTTCTCAATTCAAGCTGGCAAACTTCAATGTTTGGACGCTGATGAAGATTGGATCATAGGCAGCCCTTGCTCGCACTCTAAAAACTACGACCATTGATGTCTGTTGTCTCAGTGAGACCCATGTACAGGACTCTAGCAAGAGGCTGTGACTAGTTTCACCGTCTGCGAATTCCACTGGCATTATGACTTTGCGCCTACCTGGAGACTCAACCACCGAAGCCGCTGGTTACGCTGACGTGGGGA